TGACCGCAATACAGTTTGATCTGTGCGAACTCATCTAACTCATATAATAAGAAGGGTTACGGGGGGTGTGAAGCAGGGTCATAAGCTAGCTTGATGGTCGTGTCAAACTCAGGTGATATTGGACCTTTGAAATGCACCAATTTTCCCGGAAGTATTACATTCACCACCATTTTTGCTTTTACTTACCAAGTGATTTTCTGACCAATCCAATCACACTAATGGAAGAGTTTCCAGGCTTCATGGATCTACAACCATCCTACCACGGAATATCCCTCGGATTCGGAACCGAATTATGTTCCGGATGGTCATGGGATGCAACTTTTAGCTACCGATGAAACCGCTGATGAGGTATTTCCTCCTTTGCAGAACCATTCCATGTTTTTTGTTACCGAATATTTTTTATATGCTTGTTTTTTTGATACGGACTTCTTTTCTTAACCAGGTTTTCCTAAGCGGGCAAGTACCGGTGGTCTGGGCAGTTCATGCCGCCTGGTCATGTCCTAGCCTCAGTCAGGGTAAATCACGGTTGACGATTTCCTGACAAGGGGTCGTATTTGGAAATTTTGAGGAGTGTGTTAGGGTGGGGTTGTCGCAGTGCGTCACGTGGTACCAGGATCAAAGCACCGTTGGTGTCATCGCCTGGGGGGGGGGGTCGTATTGGACAAAATTTGCTCGACGATTTGCTAAGCCGGCCTCAACTGCTCCAATTTTTTCTGGTTTTTATTCTGTTAAGGCTGTACATAGTGTGAAAAAAATCAAACTTGAGTGTTTGTGATACGAACGTTATGAACATGGTGGATTTCAGGTGGAGTACCACTTGACGAATCGCGTAGGTGGCGCGAAACCTCATCGTGGTGAAGGTGATTCGTTAGATACCGATTCAGAAGCCGAAGATGAGGTTTGACAATAGTTGTCAACAACCGTGTATGTGTGTAGAAGTTATATCATAGTTCTCGATCGTCTACGTGTCGTCGCAGCGGGTAGCGTGTGTTTTTGTTCATTATCGTTATAATAATTAATATTGTATTTTACTGTATATGTGAAAAGATCTTGTTAAAAGTTAGCCCACCTCTACAGTCCGGAAAAAGCTCAGCTATCATGTGAAACATATCTTACCTTGTTATGAACGTTGGTTATTTTTTGTTTGTGTGGGTAATCATTCTTCCTTCCACGTGCTCTCTGATTTTTAATTTATCTCTTTCGTTTCTCTCCTCTGTGTTTACTGTCTAAGAGTCTGTAAAGTTGCTTTCGATCCTATGTAATGTATGAAAAGAACGGGTGTAAACAGAGGATGCAAAATTAAGTATTTGGTCGTCGGAAATCGTGTATCTTGGGCAGTTGCAGATAGTGTAACGTAATTTTCGACTACATGGTTTCAACCCAAAATGCATGATTTTTGGCCCCACCTCTATATTTTCACCTACCTTTAAGGTATTGAAGAACCATGTCGTGGTGGGCGTGACTTGTTCATTCCATTAATTAATTTGCTATTGTTGTTTCTTACCGTATTGATTCGTTAAATACTATTCACCATCATCGATCAATAACCGCATACTCACTCATCTACCTTATTCGTTGTTCTTCAGTGTTTACATCGCAAACATCTCAGTGTTTTAATGTGTTTTCTAGCAATGCGCATGCACGCACGGCACGCACCGTTGGTGGCACAACGCGTATGTGTATGTAAAATGGTGTACGTAGTGAGATGTATAGCGTGCATGCGATGCCTAAAATTACTCGATTCGTAGTGTCTCTGACTTTGACCGGACTCTGACCGTTCATTGGATGTATTTTTAATAGGTATATCTGCGTATATGAACGGGTTGTCTGTACTAAAGAATTTTGTTGCAGAAGACTTCTACGAGATCAAACTGCCGATGGCGTGATCGTAAGGGGTTTTTCTATGGCCATCGGACGGTCAACGATCGTTTTTTCAACGTTCGCATGTTCATAGTCTCTATCGTTACGCTGTGTTGTACTCCGGGATTGCACTCGGGGCCATACATATTACTTTCGTGTCGTACGTGTTGTACATACGTTGATGTTTCACACATATATATTCTATTCATAAATGTTTATCGCTATTTATTTGTTGGTAAACAACTGTAAAATTCAAAGGGAATCGTCTATTTTTCTACGTCACTTGAACCTTTTCGCTTATTTTTTATTCGCTTTTTATTGTATGATGCTATTTCAAGATTTTGCAAAAGCAGGATGCTGAGAGAACACTTATTTTTCCGGGTTGCGCCACGTACCTGACAACCATTTGTGACTATGGAGGCGTTGCGTATTTGTTACCAGGATTTGGAATGGCTGGACTTGCTTGAGGTCACGGTTATGTATTGTTGTGTTGAGTTTGTTATTTCACGCTCTTAAAGGCAAAGTTTCGGGCTCAGACCCACCCTAAGAAACCCTTACCATGGCTAGAAGTGCTGGGTACGCAAGTGCAAAGGTAGCGCCACCTTTCTACATCGAAACGCGTCACTAGGACCCTAGGCGCCATGGACTTCTAACAGACTCCACCAAACTTAACATGGTCCGCCCACCGTTCGATATCTTGTCTGCGTCGCCACGTTGATCTGCTATGCTCTCTCTTCTCGGACTTCTCTACCACTCTCCGCGCTCACATTATCTCTCATCTCCCTGCCTGTCTTTTGAACTTCTCCACAGCATAGAGCAAAATGCTCGTATTTCCTGTGTATTTCAGGATTTTCTTTCCTTTTTTCTCCACTGGCGGTCCATCTTCCATCCCTACTTTCACATTTGAGTGGAATCACCCATCAATTTAATCCTGATTTGTTTGACTTTTTTAAGCAGATAGTTTTTTATTTGCTCCTCAGGTAAAATTAGAGTTAAAAAGAACTGCGGATCGCCTAGTCAACTTTCATGCTGGAATGTTGATAAGCCACCCGTTCCGAGTTAAGGTCAACCATCCGTTA